AGGGTGTTTGTGTTGGAAACCTGAAGAGTCTGTGTTGGAGGCCCGAAGGAAGTGGAAATCAACTTCTGAAGGTCATATTAAAACCCAGAACTCCAATGAAGGAAAAGGGGAAGACTTTCTTCTTTCTCCTTTTATTCCATCCAGGATACAAAGTTACTGGTTGGTGCCACATACATTGGTGTGGGTCTTGTCTTCTCAGTTTCTGCCTGTGTCCATCATCCACTGTCACACCCAGAATTTTACTAATCTGCTAGGTAGTGCTTACACAAGTCAAGTTGACATATCACAATTAATGATCTTATTACTATGACAAATCTGTCTTTATTATTTGCTTGTCAAGATAAAATCAGATAAAAATGTTTTATATATTAAAGACACAAAGCAAAAGTATATTTTTATTATATTTAGGTATAATATTACACTATTTTAAATTTATTATAATCAGGAGGATCATTTGTTTTAATTTATACATATTGTTGTGGATTATTTGGTAGTTTCCCAAAAGATATATCAAGGTTGTATCAGTAAGAATCTGTGAAGGTGGCATTTTGGCAAAAAGAATCTTTACAGATATAATTTTTACATTTTTTAAATTTTTATTTTAAAGAGATTAAGACAAAACAGGACGTAACAAAACAGATCAGAACAGAACAATGTAAGCAATACAGTGTTTCACCACAAGACAGTAACTACCATAATGTCTCTTTCTTTGAAATAATTGAGCATTAACTTCATATACAAAGTATCAAACATAAAAAATAGTATAAAACCATTCAAAAGAATGAAAGTATTACAGGCCATTCAGAACCAAATAACAGAGAATGAACAATGGCTACTATATTATCTCATTTCCCATAGAAAATTTGTTTATACTATCACACAAAATAAAATCCAATAAATACAATATGATAGAACCAATGGAACAGAAGAACAAAATCATGGTAGGACTTCAGAGTAAGATGATATTAAATTATCCCTGGCTATTATAATGTCTTGTTTTCTTCAAAATAGCTGTTCATACCATCACAAATAAAACCAAACAAACCAGGATAAAACCATTCCAACTAATTAATGCAAATATTATAAGGCTTCAAAGCAATGTAATGGGGAATTATGATTACCATAAACTCTTATGTACTCTTACCATTTCTTACACTAGGGAGGCTATACAGTATTTATACATGTGAGTTTAATTCATTTCACTTATGAGTACGGTCTCAAGTTGTGTCCATTTATTTATAAGTATCTCAATGTGATCATTCTTTATAGCTGAGTAGTACTCCATGGTATAAAAATACCACAAGTTTTTTACCCATTCCTCAGTTGGTGGACACTTAGGTTGTTTCCAAGATCTGGCTATTACAAATTGTGCTGCTATATACATAGGAGCACATATATCACTGTGGTATGATGCTTTCAGTTCTTCTGGAAATATGCCTAGAAGTGGAATAGCTGGAATAAATGGGATTTCCAATCCCAGTTTTTTGAGAAATCTCCAGACAGACCTCCACAAAGGCTGTACCAGTCTACACTCCCACCAACAGTGCATGAGAGTTCCTTTTTCCCCACAGCCTCTCCAGCATTTGTTGTGGTTTTCTTGATCCTGGCCATTCTTTCTGGAGCGAGATGGAATCTCAGTGTGGTTTCAATTTGCATTTCTCTAATGACTAATTATGATGAACATTTTTTCATTTATTTATTTGCCATTCATATTTCTTTATCTGAAAACTGTGTATTCATCTCAGATGCCCATTTTTGAATTGGGTCTTTGAATTTCGGGGTGTGATTTTTAAAAATTCTTTGTATGTTTTAGACAGAAGTCCTTTGTCTGAGGGGCAGTTCACTGAAATTTTATCCCATTTTGTGGGTTTTCTTTTTACTATGCTGGAGATTTCTTTTGACATGCTTTTTAATAAAACGTGATCCCAGTTATTGATTCTGGGAAGTGTCTCCTGTGTGGTTTGATACCTGTTCATGAATTCTCTGCTTACCCCTATGTCTTCAAGATTTTTACCTAATTTATCTTCCAACAGATTTAGTGTTTCTGTTTTAATAGATCAGGTCTGTGATCCATTTAGATTTTATTTTAGTACATGGTGATAGGCATGGTTTTAGTTTTCAGCATATGGAGAGCCAGTTTTTCCAGCACTATTTATTAAAGAGACTATTGTTCTTCCAGTGAACCTGTTTGGCCCCTTTATCAAAGATAAGGTGGTTGAGTGTGTTTGTAGTTGTGGTTGTATCTTCTAATCTATTCCATTGGTCTTCAGATCTGTTTTTATTCCAGTACCATGTTGCTTTTATTACAGTAGCTTTGTAGTATAACTTCAAGTCAGGGATTGTGATGCCTCCTGCCTTGCCTTTGCTACCTAGAATTGCTTTTGCTTTTCTAGGCCTTTTCTAGTTCCAGATGAATTTTAGGAGTAATAGCTCTAGATCTATGAGGTATGTTGATGGTATTTTCATAGGGATTACACTGAGTCTTTTTTTTTTTTTTCTTTTTCTTTTTTTTTTTTTTTTTTTTCTTTTTCCTTTTTATCGGTACCAGGGATTGAACTCAAGATTGCCTGCTTACAAGGCAGGCGCTTATGCCGCTGAGCTAAATCCCCAGCCCCTATGGATTGACCATTTTTTTTTTTTTTTTTTTTTTTTTGGTACTGGGGATTGAACTCACGACCTCACATTTGCCAGGCAGATACTTATGCTGCTGAGCTAAATCTCCAGCCCCCTACACTTAGTCTTTACAGATATAATTACATGTCTAAGTGGAGCATTCTGAATTATCTTGGCATGTCCTAAGTCCAATGAGAGGCATATTTGTAATGGAAAAGAAGACACCGCGACACAGAGGAGAAACTCATGTGAAGACAGAGAAAGATGTTGGAATCATACAACCATAGCCAAAATCTGCCTGGAGCTACCAGAACCTCAGTGGCATAGAAGAAAGGGAGAAAGAGAGGGAAGGGAGGAGACAGGGAGAGAGAGAGGCAGGGGGAGAGGGAGAGAGATTAGTTCTGAGACTTGCCCTGCAGACACCTTGATTTCAGACTTCTGATTTCCCAGATTGTGTGTGAATAAATTTTTGTTATTTTTAGCTCCTAAATTTGTGATAATTTGTTACAGCAACTATAAGGAACTAATACACACATCGTAGAAGCAGAGAGTAAAATGCTAAAGTAAACAATTGACTCATTTGTTCTTTCTGCTGGGAAATGAGGAAGCAAACTGCAGCTGAGAACCTTCATCTCCCCTGAGAACACTCTGATCTTACACTTCACTTTACTATCAAGATGAAAAATGTTTCACTGTTAATAAGATATAGCACACACCTTATAAAGAATGCAGATGCCAAACAATGAATTTCTGTATGTGTGATGTGTAATAATGTAATTGAAATTCTATACACATGCACACATAATTAACTGTAATCATCTCCCAATTGAGGATATAGAATACTTTCAGCATAGCACAAAGTTCCTTTGTGTTCTTATCCTACCTACACAACTACCCACAATTTCCTTTCAAAATAAATATTCTGATATTTTTCAAGACATTAATTATAAGACAGGTTAACTTAAAACTCCATTAGAATGGTACTATACAGTTTGAAATCTTTTGTATCATTTTGTGCATTTATTATGTCTGTACAAATCAGATATGTTAATTGCATTAAACGATAGATTTTTTATCTTTCTGATAAGTGAATATTATGCAAATAATTTGTATGTTCTACTATTAATGGATATTTGAGTTGTTTCCAGTTTTAGGTGAATCAAGAATAAGGTTCTTAAAAATATTTCAATGTTGTTTTTAGTAGACTTATGAATTTATTTTTCTTGAGTATACAAGGATAGAATTATTTCATCCACAGTGTAAGGATGTAATTAGTTTCAGTACATATTCTTAAAAAGTACTCTAAAATTATGGGTTTATCTCATAGTTTCACTAACAATATATGAGAGTTTCAGTTGTTCTGTGTTCTTGTCAACACTTGAAACTGTTAGCATTTTTAATTTTAACCACTCTGAAGTGTGTTTAGTGGTAGCATACTTTATATTTCAATTTGTACTTCAAGTTGAACAACTTTTTGTATGCTTATTGGCCATTTTGTTAAATCTCTAGTAAAATCCCTATTCAAGTCTTTTGTCCCTTAAACATTTCTTCCTGTTTTTATTGAACATTCTCTTTTACATTTACTTGAGCAAGTCAGGGGCAGAAAGAGTCACTTTTTCATGGCTGAAATTTAATATTTTTACATTGATTTATTTCCAGAGAGCTTTAAATCTTAACTTCATCTTACTCACTTCTATGTACAACAAGAACTTTGACTGATTCTTTAGTTTTTCCTGTTTAATTTTAGTCACCAGAGTGCCTTTAGAATATAAAGGGATTCCCCTATTGTCTCCTATCAGAATACCTAATCCTTTGGATGTGGATATAAATCATACATGCCTGTACATCATTATTGGTATAGTGATTTATATTAATATCCTTATCATATTATTATCAGTAATATTGTTTTATAGTTTGTTAATAATTAACAAGAGAACCAACCATTTATATGAAGTTAGAGATTTAACACAAGTGTTACAGCTCCTTAACAATTTCTAGTCCTCATGCAGCTGGATTCTGTTATCTTCATAAAGATTGTTTTGTATTTTTTCTACTTTTAAATTGTTTTTGATGTATTTTTTATGACCTCATAAATATTAGAGAATAAAAAATAATTTAAGTAATTAAGAAAATAAACTGTATTATGGTTGTTAAGATAACATGATTTGTATTTGTGTCCTGGAGCCAAAAGAGCCATCCCCTATTTAAAATAATATGTTCAGAACATTTAGGATTATAAATTGTGGAAAAATAAACCTCTAGGAGACAAGTGTTTTGTTAGATTTATCTTTTTAATTAAAAGGTTAATATTCAAAAGCTTAAGTTAAAATTTGTCTTCTGGTTCTTTCTTCTTTTTTCATTTTGTGTGTGTTGTTTTATTGTTTCAGTGGAGAGAAAAAGATAAATTACCTAACGGTGGTTTAAACATACGGCCTTATCTTGGGAGCAGTCATAAGATTTTACTGAAAATGTAAGTCATTAAAATAGGATTTTAGGTGTTACTTTCTTTCATTTGGTTAGAGGATAGAACATTTACCTAGTGGTTTTATGAGCACTCCTGATGTATAATATTTATTTTTATTTGCTCTTCATTTATATGTAGTGCATGCTATAAAACTGCATAAGGCTATCAAGTAACTTTAGAAGTTATAATGGAAACAGCTCTTAATGAAGTCCTTTTTTTAAAAAAAATGATTCACTTTGAAGTATATATTCAGCTGAGTAAGGCAGCTCCCATGCACCATAGACTTAATTCATACACATAATGAAACCTTTCCCTGTGCTTGCAGAAATAACACAAGGATCAATAATCTGAAAGGACCCCTAGGAATGAAAATACACAGAAGACGAGGCTTGTATTGTTATGAATCAAGAGAAGAAATATTTAAAGCTCAGTGACAGATTAATATGATCAGTTTTACATTTTGCTTTCAGAGAGTTACATCTATTTTCAGAATTTTAATCAAAGTCACTGAAGTAGAAAAATGGACATTCTGAAAAATAAACCTAGTGAATGACTAAGGACTTTCAGCAAAATATAAAATCAGAGCTGGGTTTGGTGGTACGTTCTTGTAATCCCGATATTCTGGGAGGCCGGGGAAAGAATATCATGAGTTCACGTACAGTAAGTCTCAAAAAACAAAACTCCAAAACAAAACAAAAAAAATTAACAGTAAAAATCTCTCCAGCTGACATTTAAAAGTCATACTGACTTGATGATGTCCATAATGCTATGAAACGTGAAGATGGAAAGGATGGTCCTAAGTCAGTAACTGTCACCCCGTTCATAATACGGGTTGTGACATTTGGTGTCCCTGCCTTCACCATGGCTCCAGGTGTCTTTTTCAAAGCTCTGCAAGAGACAGATGAGATCCTGGGAGAGATGAGAGGACATTTGCGCGGTAAGATCGGACCTTTCTTTGGCCCAAATTAAACAACGGGGCCAAACTAAATGCCCCATACATTAAATTCAGCCTACCCAGGCTGAATTTAATGACTCAAATTTTAATAGAAAGTAGAACCAGAGTTCAGTGCAAAGAAGCAGTCATGACTAATAAATCGTGGGGTGTGGTGCTTGGTTAAAGAGGGTGTTACCCCACTGCCCTCAGGTTTTTTACAAGTAGTCACAAATTCCATTGTTGCTGTGGTATAATTGTACTTTACAATTATTTTTTCTACGACTTCCTGGGAACCTTTCCCCCCCATAGACAAAATTAAACCAGAATGCATGAAACCTACAGGTTTTCTATGTGCTAATAATGTTACTGCTTTATTGATCAGCGGGTAGAACACCCATAATTTTTAGTACATTCAATCTATTGTCAAAGTTGACTTCATAAAGTTACTGTCTTCCAGCAACACCGGAACCTTGATTTGAAAGTATTTTTTTGAGGACATTAATCAAAAGAGAACCTCCTATAAGTCTGATAACTGGAAGTGCTATAAAGATGAAAAATGTGCATTCTTTAGGCTAGTGAAGGTGGTGGGGAATACAATTTAAATGCAATCAAAAATAAAGGTCATGTCATATAACATGCATCACATAAAAATAAATTATTTTAAACTAAGGACAAAGTGATTTCAATTTCTATTTTGGTTTCTAGTAGTTGCAATTCTAAATGACTGAACATTTTCTCTAAGTTTTAATTCCAAATTTCTAACTTATTATTTACTAGTAATGTCAAATTATAATAATGCCTCCCTTTCTTCTCCATGCTGAAGGATTTTTATACCAAAGAATATTTGGATTTGAAGCAGATTATCGTAGGGCTTGCAAACAATATATAGAAGCTTTTTTTTTGATAGATGCGATGTGATAAAAAAATTAATAACTGTTTATTTTAGAATATGTATTCCAGTGAAGTATACATTGCCATTAATTCTCCTCAAAATACTCTCTGCACTTAGAATGTATCTACCCCTTCATTCTCATCACTTTCCGATGCAGTTCTAGAAGTCATCTTCTGCGTCTTTAGTTGCCTTGTCCTGGCTACTTTGATGTCCTGAATTGACTCAAAATGTTATCTTTTGTGATTACTTTGACTTTGGGGGAGAGACAGAAGCCACAGCATGCCAAATGCCTGTGAAAAAGTGGGGATGAGGACGCCCCGTAATGTTTTCACCAGCCTGCTTTTTCATGGAACGGCACTTGTTAGCAGAATTCTCCCTATATTTGATCAGACCACGTATTGACACTGATGAAAGAGGATGTCTAGAACTGCTTAAGCAAGTGGTGAGAAGGACGGGGTATTTTAGAAACACTCAGAAAGCGGCTCAGTCTGAAGTCAGTGGGAGTATGCTTTGTATTTTTCAGTCATTTCCTTTTTCTGGCTCTGAAGTTAAAGCAGTGATCATTTTTTACTTGTGCTCTGAGTAGAATGAGCAAGTAATTATTACAGGCACTGTCCTAGTAAACTGTGGGTCCTTCTGTTTAGATAGCACAGGTTGTGGGTTTGAGTTTATGCTGCTGTGTGCTTAGCACTCTGTATCCTGCAGTTTCGGATACAGGATACAGGATATAGGATACAGGATACAGGATACAGGATACAGGATACAGGATACAGGACACAGGGCCTTTACTGGTGCACATCCTGCTCCCTAGAAAGTCAAGTACACTTCTGACACCTTCTCTGAGCAATGTAGCCTCTACTGGCCCACCCCATCTTTTGGATTGTATCTTCTTGTATAGTTAAACCTGTGCAAACCACTTTGAGTTTTCCATGCACCTTGAACAAACATACTGTTGCTTTTTATTTCTACAGCAGAGTTGATTGTTTAGTGCTCTCAAATGTCACTTTTCTTCCTCATGTTTCCAGGTGACATGAGGCCCTGCCTTCTATGGGGAAGCTATGGAAGACTCAAGCATGTGTATAACAGTTTATAATTTTTCAAGCTCCTTAGCATCCGAAGCAGAACCTGAGAACTACCGGTAGAGCGACCTCAGGACATCACACAGTCTCTTCATGGGAGTGCTGCTAGGGAAATGAGCAATATTCCAAGAGCAGTATGATTTGGTAAGGATTTTCTGCAGTCTTATTCACACCTAAATAGTCTCTATCCACAAAACATGTTCATATGGAGTTAATTTCAGGCTAAATAAGGTGATATAAGAGTTTTAGTGTTAACAGCTTCCTCGGTAGTTAATATTGCTGCTAGGAAAAAATCTCAAATTGAACATGTAGTTGATGTTCGTGTCATGGTTTTGGAATTTTTCAGTGTCACTCAATCTGGTGCCACAATTGGAGTCATCTTCATTATCTTTTGTGTATTTACTCAGACAACTTTGTGCCTCAGAAGATGACCATTAAAGGCATATTTCAAAAGCTTTGACCAATTATTATTCGTGCCTTACCAAGAAGAAAATAGGGTACATAAAAAACAAACACTGGCCTTTAAATTAGAGATTTGGGTGCTTCGGTCTCATTATTTTATTACGCTTAGCAAGTCTAAATACCTGGCTTTGAATATGAGCCCTTTTCTGGTGCACAGCGGGAGGTATTAGGGTGATTAAGTGGAGATATTTTCCTAGGATTTTATTCTTGGCTCTAATATGGGTTTTATTGGATTCCCTTCCTCAGCCGGTAGCTATTGTGTTAGAAACATGTCACCTGCTGGAGTGAAGCTGCTGTGAAATACAGTATTGTGTTTGCTCTGTTGAGGGGAAAAATCATTTTCAAACTTCTTTTGGACAAAAATGCTCTATACCTCCTGAAAGTTACAGTTTCTTAGCTTCTTTTCAGACCTGGGTAATCATCTCTTCCCATATATAGAAAGTTATGTTCTACATTCTGAAGATTATTTGCAGTCTAACATAAATATTAATATAATCTTCAGATGGACTCTGATGGAGAAGAAGGTTCTTGAAAAGAGAGCTTCTTGAAGTCTGGAAGTGACCTACCTTATCTCCACCTAACATTGCCTGGAATGGTGCTTTTCGGTAATGGCACTATAGGCAGTGTGGGCTGGGCTGAATAAATATTTGTGGTTGAGGGCTCCTGTAAATTTTAGGGCATATAGGTGAACCCCTGGCTTTTACACTTTGGATGCCAGTAGCATACCTTCCAGCTCTGATAACCAATGTATTTTGAGGGGTGAGGGCAGGGAACCAAATTACTCTTGGTTGAAAACTATTGAGCTAGAAGTAATCTTTCAGATCAGACTAACTGTATGCTTGTTGGAAGGAATGATTGTGTGGCAGAATGATCTTGTGGCCAGCTGTGGTGGCTCATGCCTCTAATTCTAGCACTTAGGTTGGTTAAGGCAGGAAGATTGCTGTGAGTTTGAGGTCAATCTGGGCTACATAGTAAGTTGAAGGCCAGCCTGCACTCAATAGTAAGACTCTTCTCAAAACAAACAAACAAACAAACAAGATTGATCTTGTTGTTAAAGGAAGGATAGAAGAACCAGATATGAATATATACTATTAACCAACAACACTAACTAACAGAAATGGTAAACTTTCATTATCATAGGCAAAAAATGCCATTGTATTTAAATTTTAACATAAATTAAAACAAATAGTATTGCACATTCAAAATAAATTTAACAATTCTTAAGAGATGATTAATGATAGAATTGTGGCATGGCTGAAAAGATAAGAAGTATGAAATATAAATGACCTTTATTTTAAGAATGCAGGGAGAGACCCCCCCCACTCCCTGGGGTCTGGCATCTCCCCAGGGTCGGTGATCTCTCTGTCAGACACATGGCATGGAGGCATACATGTAGCTTAGGTTGGGGTGGAGCTTGAGGGGGCATTAGGGATGCACAGGTAGCCCATTGGTATTTATTTCATGCCAAAGATAAATTCCTAGGGGGTGGGGAAGACAGAGCTCCTTGGTTCTGTCTCTAAGGCTTTACTGGCTGCAGTGTCTGGTCTGGGCCAAAACCCTTTCATTCCCATCTTATGATTATTATTATTAGGAAAAGGGGCAGATATTTCTTTTTTTTTTTTTTAACTGCTTCTGCTGGAAAGGGATGCTGTACTGGGGTTTAGGGAATCGATGGGATGATGGTTGATGCCCATGTAGAAGCTGGTGCCAGGTGTTTTAGCCAGGACAACTTTATCATTGGTGAATGCCCATATGTTAGACTGGAAAAACAAAGAGACAAGACGTTATGAGGAGGCATGGCACTGTCATATTTAAGGACCCAGGTGAGGTAAAAGGAAAGGTGCCTTTGATTTAGACATGTCATTTTATCAGGACCATGTTGAGGTAGAATCATTGCCACAGTAAGGTAGAATTCTGAAAAATAAATGTGGGGTTAGGAGGAGTGAAGTTATGAGAGGTGATTACTCCCCCATCTGAAAGGGTAAAAGTTAAGAGAGTAGGTAGGTAAGGCTTATTTCTGGTATGCATGACATGGGAGTCTTTAGGAAATACTGTTGAGAGTCCTGCTGTAAAAAAGGATAAGAAATTAGAAACCAAATTGGATAACAAAACATGGCAGCCTGAGAGTTGTGGCTGTGAGGCCTTAGTGAGATGGAGATGAGTAGGCAAAAGGATGGTTAGATTTAGGGCTGGAAGGGCACCACTTAGCCTGAGTGATGTGAAACCAGGATGGCAGTCTAGCAACTTTGGCCGCTGTTGAGGTTGCCAAGAAGACCAGGTATGGGCTGCTCTAACTTGGTTGTAGTGCTTGTGATGATTTGCTGTAACAGGACTTTAGTAAGTATATCAGCAGTCTCCCTGGTTGTGGGAAAGGCTTTTATGTATCCTGAAAAAGTATAAACAAAGTGAGAAGACAAAATTTATCTGTCAGTCTTGACCAGGGTTGTGTCTGAGAAATTAGTGAATAGGAAAGGAAGGGGGTGATATGTATCCCTGAGGAGAGGTTTACTAGCGATAACAGGTGTAAGCTGTTGAGGCCTCAGTGTCTGGGTCAGTCTGTATAAACACAAGGAAATAAAAAGCATTTTTAAGATTTAGGACTATAGAGTGAGTGGTGGAGGGAAGATTTGGCACCACTGGGGAGATTGGGAAGAAGCAGTCTGGGACCTGCACGAAGTAGGCCCTGTTTTGTAAATGGCATAGTTTGACCCTCAATATCCCCCAGAGACTGAGGACTTCATATAGCAGCCTGAAAACTCAGGAAGAACTCTGTACACATGGCCTCTAAGTCCTCAAGTATAGAGAATGTCTTGTCTGAGACTTTTAGTGGGACTTGGGACCCTGAGACAGACACTTTAAAGGGGGCTGTTGTTGGCCCTGAACCCCATCAGTCTTCAGCAGCAAGTTTAAGCAGATTTGTCAGCGAAGGAATCTGGCAGTGTTGGCATTTCCTGTGAGGGCTAGAAGTTAGGATGGCTTACCCACTCTCTGGTGGCTAGGATAGACCAGTAGCCCTGGGGTATGGTCTCAAGGAACGTCAGGATGGGGCACTCTCTTGCCCAATGTCTTCTGCTGCATTTGAGGCATGGTCCGTGGAGGGTGGGGCCAGGCAGCGCCTTGTGTCAGTTTACCTGTCTCAGAACTCCAAGTGTCACAAGTGTTATTGTTATCTCTGTTGTTGAAAACACGAAAAGCCATATTAAGGAGGTCTCTATGGAGTTTGAAGGTCAAGTTTTGCCTTTTTGTTTGGGATTTGGTCTATAGTAGAAAGTTTCTGTAAAATTTAATTAAGTATGCAAGAGTCAAATACAATCAGCAGAGTATTTATGACTTTAGTAATGGCTTCCCATAAAGAGGACAAGGTCTAGGTAACTTTAGGAACTGACATGTCATTTATGTCATATGTAAGTATCTCTTTATGTTTTTAAAGTGTCTAATGCCATCTGATTTTTGGAGGATGGCCTGTTTAATTAATTTTTACCTTTTTATTTAGGAGAGAGATCAGCTCTGGTGTCACTTAATATCAGTTGAATATAGTTAATTATGCTTTGGTGGAGGGCTGAGCCAGGGCAGGCAGACAGGCTGGGAAAGGTTTAAGTTTGGCTTCTGCCGCAGTGTTGGTCTTGTTGTTTTGCAGGTATCATATAACTCTTGTTTTGGAAAAGAGCTAGTGGTTCCCAGCAAAAGGAATTTATAATTATTTTTAAATTTTAGTTGTTAAACAGTTAGGAGATTGGTAACAGTACAGTATAATATGTACAATACAATATAAGCAGTAAGCTTAACATAGAACATTACTAATGGTTTACAGCGAAAGGAATTTATAATTACCTCTTAATTTTGGCTGTTAAACATTTAGGAGATTGGTAACAGTACAGTATAATATAGGCAGTAAGCTTAACATAAAACAAGAAATTTGTGAAACATTTCTAAGTATATATCTGGATCTGAAAGAAAACATTTGTCATAACTGGAACACAAGAAAAAGACAGCAGAAACAATCTGAAGTTTATATCTGAAAACATGAATACAGCATCAGATCAGCAACAATGAATTGTCTGCTGTGCCTGTCTCTGCGCTGGCAGACAGAGCCATACCTGCACTTGGGGGCAGGGGCTGGGATCTCTCTGGCATGCAGCGTGTAGGTAGAACACGCAGAGCGGGCGGGGTGTTTAGGACAGGCGGGGTGCCAGGGTGGGGGCGGTGCATGCAGAGTGAAGGTGGAATGTGTGCCCATACGTAGTGTGTGGTGCGGGGCCAGAACTGCCCTGGAAATGCATGCATGGTGGGGGGCAGTGTAAGCACAGTGGGCTGGGTAGCGGGAGTCAGGTGCATGGGGGGTGGAGCTGGGATGCGGCATGAAGCTGGGACCCTGCATGGTGGAACCCTGCACGCTGGGACCCTGCACAGAGCTGGGACACTGTGTGAAGCTGGGACTGCTCGTGGGGCATGCGGAGTAGGGCGCATCTTTAGAGCCGGACCCGGGGTGGAGCTGGAGTGTGGCATGAGAGCCGAGACACTGCATGGAGTTGGGGCGCGGCATGAGAGCCGGCCCCACGTGGAGCCAGGGCATGGCATGAGAGCTTAAAGCAGCCTGTGTACCTCCCAACAGGTTTGGGCGCACCTCCCCTGTGTCAGTGGGGAATGGGTTGGCGTGCAGTGGGAAAGGGGGAGCCACAAGG